TGTCTTTCTTTTCCTTTCTCTCTCTGTTTCTGACTCTGACGCTCTTTCTTTCTTTCTATTTTCCCATTTCTCTCTTTCTGTCTCTTTCTATCTCTCTCACACACACACACACACACACACACACACACACACTAAATATTTATCACGTGTTACAGTATGTGATTATAAGACTTCTCTAGGCGACAACGAGACTCCCAAGACAATAACAACAACACAAGGATCATAAGGACAATTACATACGTGGTACGGCGTTCTGCAATGCACTGCAGTGGATGAGTGGAAGAGCCGTCAGCCTCTTGTCTCCAGGTATGGCAGCTATAGTCTCAAAACTAGTAAAGTGCAATCTTGTGGAAAGCCAGCAAACACTGTAGGATTGGTCCTGCCCTTTTTGCAATATCATGGATCGTGGCCATGATTGTTTTGCGCTCGTCACAGGCATCGGCTTGATGGCTGGTGTATTTCGCATCAACAAAATACATGTACTCGCGGCTTCCCACGTACCATGATTTAAAAGAGGATGATGCGTCTGAGTGTCATGGGTACCGGGTAGACTCTCTCCATTGAGCTGCACGACACGGGGCCGTGAATAAAACATGTTTTCATACTGTTCATGGTGCGTGCATGCATTCAACTCTGCGGATGGCGGCAGCTGTCAGGGACTCAGCATTCTTCAGCATTGTAAAATGTAACACCATAACCAAGAACCGGGCCCTCCTGGCAACAATGCTTCACTAGCCAATTGACCTCAACAGTCGTCGGTGCATGTATTTGTAAAGTTACAAATACATGTACATGCAGACTAAAGGCACGAGGGAGACAAAATATATACCTGACATAATCGTACACGTACATATGTATGTAGTTATTTACATACAGTGTACGTGTAGTATTGTGCGTGAACAGAGGAGTTAGAACATGGAACATGGTGCGTACGATGTGTTACATGCTAATAGCGCTACATGTACACACTAACGAGATCCTCACTCCTCGACTCGAGTCATACAACAATGTTATTATGCATGTGTTGAATACAATGCACTCAATCTCCAGATGCATGTACAGGTGCATACAGTACATGAATACAGTGTACAGTTCAGACTCCCTAGCATCGCAAATGATTAATTTTTTTTCATGGGGGTAACGGCCTCTTTTACGGGCAAAATAAAGTCATGTAGACGTGAAAAATTGAGATACCATGAAAGGTAAAATAGAATTATTATTTTATTCAAGTACAATACATTGATTAATCGTATATTCATACTCGAAGTACATGTACAGTCATGTACATGCCTACAAACATACATGTACTCATGTACATGTAGTCATTCGTAAGGATGAGGGAGCTGAAAATCTGAAATGTCTGAAGGAACAATTGTTGATTGTCTGGGCTTGCATTTGTATTGCATTTTCATCCATTGTGTTTCTTTTCTTTTGTTTTCTGATGATCGCTTAGTGCGTGAAACTCGGAGTGAAAACACTTTCTCTGTCCTCCTATTGTTTGTTTCATTTGCCCGTAAAAGAGCCGGCTGGAGTATAACAATTGATTGTCACCACCAAACGTAACAAATGTAATCATAACTACAAGTTTTAATACATGTCTTACGCAGTCAGTACAAGAGAAAGTTAGTGTATTTGTTATAGATAATTCGCCTCTCACGTCACGTCCAGGTATGGTTCATGCACAACATGATCAGCGTGCATTTATCAGGTGAGACCTATTGTTCTGGGAAGGTTTGCCTGACCATCACTGAGCACACTTGGCACGCTGCACATAACAGTTATCACGTTTTAAGAATGTCCAAGGCAGCCAGTACAAGTATTGTTGCAGAGCATTTTTCTCTCACGTCCAAGTATATGTAAGATTCATGCAGGTGAAATCTATTGTTTTGCAAAGTTTGCTTCATGATCACAAACACTTGGCATGCTGCCACATAACGACAGCGTACGCCATAAGAAGCACGTACAGTACATGACATCAAGAGTACATAACCCCTACTCTTGATGACATGTACATGTATGTACATGTACCTTCTGTCTACATGTACATGTATATCCACAATCAACATACTTGTACTATACATTTTGTTTGTTACTTTACTTCGCAAAGTCAAACGGGAGCATGGACCAGTATTATGATAGCGAAGGGGGTGTATGTGTGTGCGTGGGGGGGGGGGCATGGTATTGTACATGTATGTCGTGATAGAATATCATTCTCGCTAATCACTGCAACAGTCATGCCTTCCACCAGCAAGCCATTGCGTGCCGTGGCTATTCCTGCACCACTTCCTCGCCAAGGACTTAGGGGTATCACATTCTCTATGGGATACACAATGTAGTGGAATGTACAGTAAAACCTGTAACTAACGACCACCGTGACTAGCGACCACCGTGACTAGCGACCAGCCTGGTACTACCGACCACTTTGCCCGACACGGACGGTCTCACATTATGGTTGTGCGGTGCAAACCTCTAACTAAAGACCACCTGCCACTAAAGACCGCATTCTCTGGCCCCAAGGGGTGGTCGTTAGTCACAGGTTTTATTGTACATGATTAGCAGTCTCCTGATGATTGCACAGAGCAAGTACAATGTAGCTCAGAGTCAGAGAAGAGCAGAAGCAAACTGGACCTTGTGTGTGTGTGTGGGAAAGCTCTGGAGCGCTGATCTGTCAGCACTCTCACGCTGTCTCAATTCCGGCACTTAGTTTGAGGTTCTCTACGTTACCTCCTTCAACATACTGGCTACCATTATGAGTGAAGATCGAGTGCAAGCGGTGGCCTCTTTCTGACAAAAAGTACTTGTGTGATCGTAAACTAACTTCAAGGTACCAGTACGCTCTATGTTTGTGATGGAAATACACCATGACGTTAAACGCGTGGAATTATTCGAGTGATGTCGGAAAGCCAATACCAGCGTACCAGCAGCGCAAGCACTCACTATGCACTGCCACTAGGCTATCCAAGTACCAAGCGGTACGGTGCTGTGCATTGCAGTGTGGCTGGAATGAGCAAGGTTATGTTGACAAGCTGACGCATACCACTCCACAACCCCTATCCGTCTCTCTCACTCACTCTCAGGATGGCTAGTGTCCCGTGTCGCTCCGATGGCGGAACTGAGTCCGCTGACGACCCGACTGACATGATATCGAGGATGACAGACTTCATCACAGTGGAATAGAGTCTTGACTCTCAAGCTAAAGAAACATCCAGTCATGACAAACATGCAAAGACCACTATCACACACGGTAATACTGCCAGTAATGGGGATTTATTTTCTAACAATTTTCATTGATACAGAGTTCACTTCTGAGTGCAAGCACTGCCACCACTTGGCCTTTTGTGTACCTTGAATAGGTGCATTGAGAGTTATTAGTTCAGAGAGAAGTGTCGGTAAACCTGGGGTGCTAGGGTGCTATCCATTCCGTTCCACCTTCATGACCATACAAATACATTTCCACCTTCTTTTGTGTGTAATACTAATAGTGCTCCACGTGTTGATCCCTCTCCGCTGGCTAAAGGGAACCTCTAGTCTTCATACACTTACTAGTACTAGCACACGTATCTTTAGCTGCACAACTTAAAATGTGACCATCACGGTCCTCCTCTTGGTGCGTGATATCAGGTGTCTCGCCTTGAAATAGCTCCGTGTCTCGCCTTGGAATATCTACGTGTCTTGCCATTTAATATTTAAAAAAATATCAATCGGGGGAGGAAGGGGATTATTGATGTTAGAATGTGGAAATACTACTTGGAATAATGCTGGGTGATAAAACATAGGCAAAGGCCTGATTTGCCACCGATCATTCTCCTGCACCCCTTCCAAGATCCATTGGACACACACGCACACGCGCGCGCGCGCACACACACACGCACACACACGCACACACACGATCATACCAATAATACCCAGGACCTGTGCAGTACATGTACAGTCTCACAGACGTAGGAGCTCCTGCCGACCAAACGTATGGATATGGTAAGGTGGGGGCGCACCACCGATCGACTATTGACCTTGCATGTGCGTTCCTGAACACCCCACTTGAGTACAGCATTAGTATTTTCTAGTGTAGAAGCGGTCATGTGACATGAAGTACATTGTGTGGTTCTGAAGAAATATGTGCACAAACATCGGGCGTGATTGTTCGTGTGGTGTTTCCGGTTCTCCATTAATTTTTACATGATGTAGCCATTTGTACAGATACATGTATGTACATTCTACACACTACACCCTCTCACAATGCATGTACATGTAATGACTACGTACATGTACATGTACATGTACCACCGCATACTCCAGATACCACACACTCTCACATTCGCACATTTTTCAGAAATCACTCAAAACCCGGCTTTTTGTTTTGAAAGATCACGAAGGTACATGTAAATGCAAAGCGGCTGCATAGCAATAATACAATCATGTAGAGCAAATTCCATTTTCAATCTCAGATACTACCACAGTCATAATCTACACACAACCCTGTACAGGCTCACATTCTCACATACTAGATCAGCAGTTTGGAAAACATGCCGCAGCATGCATTGGCAATCCAACGAACGACCATTTGCCTGAGCTCGGTGAGCTGCGCCACGCTTGCTCAGCATTCCGAAGGTGTTCGCTATGGGAAACGGTACAAGTAGCTCTTCTCGCCTGCCCAGGTCATGCGATCGCGCGAACAAACAAACGGCAGTGCTCGAAGTGCAACAAAGACAAAGTGCTTCCTATGTAGCAGAGTGGACGCATGTCTATTATGATCTATACTGGGTCAAGAGATGTCAGCTGACTTGTGGAGATCTGAATCGATCTCTTGCCAGCAAATAGAGCCTCAACTCACCACATACATGTACAGTACATACAGTACATGTACGTACTACAAATGTAGTCTGAATGCATTACAAAATCGATCATCGTAGCGTATGTAATAAAATCAACCATCCTTCCTGGTAAATGGCGAGGGCATAGTTTTGGAGTGTTTTCCAGACGGTGACATAATCAATGTCCCTGGCTGATCCATGAAAGTCTGGACATTTTGAGGCGCACTATGTGACAGGATTGAAGGGTAGAGAGGGTCGCGTGGACCCCACGCCCCTACCGGAGGTCCTGGAGCGGCCTTATGGTCCAGGGACAGCGGATTGTCATTGTCAATGTCAGTGCAGAGCGCATGTTGTTCATTGATTCCAACGTGTGTTGAATGTTTCTCTTCTGCCCCGTGGAATGTAGGGCATGTTATTTACGCCAGCATTCGCTATGGTCTGGACTGACTGTAAGAACATTGCAGAAATGCCACTACAAGCGCATTTATTGGCTCATAGTGGTTGCCAGTGACGGCGTACAACGGGTGTCCGCGCTGTTACTCTCCGAGTATGGGGGTGTTTACTGCTGTTTTCAACGCTGGACTTTCTGAATTGCTAACGGCACATACCGCTCGGAGCATTGCCCGCGCTTGTTTTCTCTCGGCACGTGGGTGATTTCTTTCTCGGTGTCGTCTGCCAATGGGCACCAAAACTTGCAACAGGCGAACCATCATCCATTACTCTGCCCACACGCTGCATAGCACGAGCCATGCAGAATGGGTTGCTGTGACGACACCACTCAGCAGCGTGCGCTATGTGGCTGGGACTCAGGCTAAGCTAGGATTCGAGGAATCGAAGCTAGGTCTCTCCGGCACCAAACCCCTTTCGGATTGCGTGCCCTGCAGCAAGAACATGTAGCTGGATGCTGTGTTGCAATCATCCAGCAAGACACAGCAGTGTGTACATCGTATCGGTAAGAGCTCCACGGACCCTCGTCTTTCGGCTGGGGCCGAGCCTGACATGGTTTTGCTTTCTAACCAGACACGTGGGGGTAGCTACATGTAGTTGTAGAATTGAACCTATGAACAAACCGATACACCGCGCATCAGAAGAACTATAAAAGAGGACGAGAAATAGCTTATGGAATCATTACAGTTCTTTTCTAGAGCCTAAAAGGGCAAGAACAGCTGAAGAGCGAAGTGCCAACACCAAACACAGGTTTCTAGTGAGGCCAAGATTGTATGACGAGCATTATTCTCTTCTGTTCAGTTTTGATCTTCAACTTTAATCGAGCACTGCCGTGAATTCGCCATGTCGTCATTTCCTGTGGTAGCCGATGTGAAACTGCGCAGAACTGGCGCGTCCTTTGCTATTCTCCTGTTAGTTGTCACACAGCTCACGTTGTCACCATGCGTGCTAAGCATGCCCCCCGCAAGTCTGTCAGCACAAATGGAAGGCAGAAGACCAGCATCAGCATCATCATCCTCATGTCTGCGTTATCTGGAACACGCCAATGCCAAGTTGTCCCCACAAGGTCTGGATGTCTCCGTAGCCTGTGGTTCTCCTGTAGCTGAGAGCGGGGCGCACCAATACTCAGACGAGTTGCACGCTTCGTTTGCTGTCCGAATGGATCACCTTGTTAGCTCAGGAGGCATTCCTACACGCGCTTACATTCGCTTCCCTATCAATCCCCTGTCTTGTCACACACCGGTTGGGCGTGTAGAGATTGAGGCTGCGTTTAGCCTGCAATATCCTGCAGGGGATGTTGGGCGGGCCAAGGCTGGTCAAACAGTGCTCAGCACGCGGGCTCGTTTCACTATTCCAGCCCGTCGACAGTGCAGCAGACCCTGGTTCAACCAACCACTGGATGTGTCCCTCTACAGGTCCATCATGGCCGCAATGACGTCACATGACGTGGATTCGGCACACCTTTACGTCAGCCTCCGGAAGATCATGAACTCGTCGGCTGTGACGTCACCGGATACTAATGCCGGCGGGCTGTTTCCGAGCATTCAACCAGACCGACTGAGACCGATGATTGTCCTAGGTTTCGCTATGAACGGCGATACCGCAACACATATTCGCAAACGTATAAGTCTGGCACGTCAAGCACACTTGGCGTCATCAGAAGCAGCAGCCAGTGCTGATTTCACGCACCGGAGTCAACCCAATGCCCACAAAGCTCGCAGCCGTCGGGAAGCGGAAGACCCAACAAGCGAAAGTGAACAGGAACAAGTTTGCGGGCATCTGGATGACTTTCTTATACGCTCCAATGAGCTAAGTGTTACTATGGAGACAAACGAGACGATTGCCCACTATAAGTTACCGGATCGCTTCGCGGTAATTCGGATCAAGACCTGCGCCCAAACGAAAAAATGCAGACGCCTTGCGGAACGCCCAGAGTTCGTGGGTCTGTCTCCCCGGTTGCCTGGAGCAAGCATGCAGATGTCTGACATTTCTATCAAACCCCAGTGCAGGCCAGTGGCGCACTCGAGCAGGACAGTCAGACTGGTCTTGGCAGCAACAGAGCATGACACTGAGCCCATCTACAAGATGGAGGAGTTGAAGGATATCAGTGCGACACACTGTGCATGCACACTATTTGCTTAGAAGGCTCAATTTTCTTGACATCCAGATTTTACAGATATCTATTGATGGATCCATGCACTGCTATGCTGGCCTTTCCACTTACAACATTTTTATTTATTAGTGACAATTCGGCACCCCACGTGATTACGTAATATTTTATTTGTGATTATCACCGAAAACGATTCATCTGCTATACAATATCAGCATTGACAAGAGCAGGAGGCCACAACTTGGCCGAGTCTTTGTACTGACATGCACACGTACTAAACCACACTCCAAAGGCCACATGTAGAAACCTGCCCACCGAAACCATGTGCTCCAGTGCAAATTATCATTTTAATAATATTATATTAATTTTGGTACTGCAATGTTCTCTAAGACAGTAAAGTAAATTATAATATAATTAACAGACAGTCAGATGCAAAAAGGTACCTTATGACGTTTTGCAGTTGAGCCGGAAAATCACGTTCGAAAAAATATTTTCTGTGAATAGGTGATCGATAGTCCGGATAGTTTCCAGGGTAACTCTATGATGAATTGAGATTTTTGGACCTGGTTTTTTGCATGACACGCTCCTCACCAGGTAGTATCTGAAACAATCGTCAACTCAATTTGGCCAAAAATGTCATAAGGTACCTTTTTGCATCTGACGGCTCCAGCATAATTCTGAAACACGAAGTCCTAATTTACGTGACTTAGACAGTCACTCTAAAATCACTCCACTGATACTGATAGCAGTCCTCAAGTGCTTGCAGCACAATGATATGGGTCCAACTAAACGTTGTATCACATTATTTTATCACCTACATGTATAACTTTATTTATAGCATAGGTTTGGCATTGTTTCACGCCTTCCTGACGACTGGCATTAACTCTTGGTGAGTTGGAGTACAGTATGAAGCTGGTGCCGTTTGATCCCAAGACCCAAGTACACTGTACGTATTCGACTTCGGTCAACCGAATGCGCGAGTGTTTCTCGCTGGCAGAGCACTCTCATGCTGATCCTCGAGTCGACTTTCAGCGGGTTTAAAAACTGCTGTATATTGTTATGATGAAGAAAGGAAAAGGACAAAATGTTACGAGTTATGACAAACTGTCCGCCAACGTAACCAGATCTCATACAGTCAGCAAGTGCGACAAAATGGCACAACACTGACAAGGAGTACTGAGACATTCGGCGACCTGACACCTAGCTCCAACACTTCTCCAAGGCGCAAACCAACAACCTTCCAAGTTGGAAGGCTCCGGTTCGAAAAGGTCCAAGAGGATTCTTGGAAGGTTGTTGGTTTGCGCCTTGGAGAAGTGTTGGAGCTAGGTGTCAGGTCGCCGAATGTCTCAGTACTCCTTGTCAGTGTTGTGCCATTTTGTCGCACTTGCGGACTGTATAAGATCTGGTTACGTTGGTGGACAGTTTGTCATAACTCGTAACATTTTGTCCTTTTTCCTGAAGTTCTTCATCATAACTATATTGGCTCACCATCCGAGTTTAAATTTGCTGTACTATATTGTTCCCTTTGTGAACGGACACGATAATTTACTTCACTTACTTTACTGCATATTGTTCGCAAGACGTCACTGTGATCTGTCCTGTCACTCGGAGCTTTGTGGATAAGACCTAATAATTATACAGTGGTCCCTCTATAATCCGGCACCATTTGTGCCACGAAAATCTGCTGGATTAGGGAGGGTGCTGGATTAACAAATCTGATTTACTGCTGCAATGTGCATGAAGAGGACATTTTGGCTACTAAAAATTGTGCTGGTTTATCGAGGGTGCTGGATTATAAGGTGCCGGATTAGAGAGGGACGACTGTATACTGTAAATAGACAAAATTTCGGCGCTGCAAAATTTCGGCACTTCACGATTTTTGACATTTCGGCGGCGATTTATTTTCGGCGTGGGGTAGAGGGCATGGTATAGTGCGACAGATGCTGTGAAAATTTTCATCGGTGTTTCAATTTAGGCGTTTTGGGTCGGTGCCGAATATAGCCGAAATTAAATAGCTGCCGAAAATTTGTATATTTACAGTAATAAGAAAGTCGAAGCGGTTTAACGGTTGATACGATGTATGTGCTAGTTCGGTACTTACAATCATTCCATTCAAGTCCAGCACCGAACTATAGAGGTTATAATTATTATGCTTTACATGCATCGTCGGCTGAGATGCTTTGGCCAAGTCGGTGGTGGTACAGTGCTAGTGATACACTGACTGTACTAGCGACTCACTCTGTACACGAAGCGCCCATTGCCCCATTGCCCATTGCCCATTCTCTTAAATTAATCCTTGGCTCTCCGCCCGAGCCTAATAATACAGTAGCTATAAAGAAAATATTGAGGTAGATTAGTGCTGGAGAAACATTTCTAAGGATTTCTATACTCCATTGCAGTCATCTAGACCTTACTTTTCTCAATCCTAAGTTGAACATTCATACGCTCAGACGGTCTCTCTGCTGCCAAGTCAATTCACCGTTCATACCGTTTCATCCTGACGGTGGGCCATGCATGCCTGAAGTCACTTTGTAGCAGAGGAGGCCGTGTCGGATTGAGAACGGTACAAGACAAGGAGACCGTTCTAGCAGAGAAAGTTGCAAGCAGTTTTTCGCCCTCAAAGGAGCAGAAAAATACAAAAGCGAGAGAGTGCAAGAAAAACGTTTCTGAACCTGAATGTACTGTACACAATTATTATTATTAAAAAAATTAAATTTCCATCCCAGTGCAGTAGCATCCCATCAAAAAAACTGTTTTAGTTTTTGCTTGTTTGAAGCTTCTTTCTCTGAGACGCCTAATCGTACGGAATTCTGAATTGTGCATTGCAGAATCCGTGGCAGAGTGGCCGGGGTTAAAATGGGTAGGACCGAGGGTTAGGTTAAATAAAGCATTAAAATAACAAATAAAGCATGGTGAAAAGTAGGGTCAAAATGGCCGCGGTCAAAGGTCGGGTAAAATCGGGTAAAGTCAAAAGGTCGGGTTACATCGGATACGGTCAAGTCGGGTAATGGTTCAAGGTCGGGTTTAAAACAGCTAAGCCAAGCTAGGCATGGTTGAAAGGTAGGGGTAAAAATAAGGACTAATTCAATCCTGGAGCTGTACCAGCCCTAGGATTATATTCGGCATGGTTAGAGTGCTCAGGCGATATAGGGCATAGCAAAGAGTGCTCAGGTGAAATGGGGCATAGCAAAGAGTGCTCAGGCGATATGGGGCATAGCAAAGAGTGCTCAGGCGATATGGGGCATAGCAAAGAGTGCTCAGGTGATATACAATGTTGGGCATAGCAAAGAGTGAGTGGAGTGTCTGGATACATAATATAAATAGGCTCAATATAAAAAAGGAATATTTGTTCAGCCTTGGCATAGAGGGTTGGTTATACAGTGTGCCGTAAACTGATCAACATAAGTGAGAAAAGAAGTCGAAGATAGAAATGCCCATGCTGTACAGAGGCATATGCCCTGGCAGACAGCAGCGGACGTTTCACAACATGGCGAGGCTGCCACGAAAGGCGCATTGTCACTGTGCTTTGCTGGAAGCGCTGAAGCGATGCGTTCACGTTATTACTCTCACCATATTCGGCATGCCGGCTTACAGGCAAACTCGTTGAAAGCAGAACTGGCTCCAGAACAACAGATAGACTTGAGAGTTCCCATGAAACCATCACTGCCACCAATGACATCGTCACTGTTACAAATGACATCATCACTGTCACCAATGACATCGTCACTGTCACCAATGACATCATCACTGTTACAAATGACATCGTCACTGGTACAAATGACACCATCGATATCATGCATCACCGTTACAAATGACATCATAACTGTCACCAATAATATCGTCACTGTTACGAATGACGATGTATCAGATTTCAACGAAGTTGTCCTGGCACTCCATGAGACCACACCGATGAGCGGAAGATTGAAGAGTGTACAGTGTGAAGCGCTCGACGTCTTCCGTGAACGCGGGCGCAATCCGCTCGTCTGACCACGTCTTCTCGGAGTATTTCTGCTTGCTACTCGCCACTGCACTGTCTTTCATGGTAATGCCGAACACCTGTTCTGAAAGCACGGAAGGGGCCATGGATGGCGGGAAGGCCACTAGAGAGTGCATGCCGTCACCCCTCTCATGCTCATGGACGTGCGCTCCCAGGCTTTTGAAGCTCGGGGGAGTCTGTTGCGCGGGGGAGTTATTATAACCATGCTCCGTCCTTGCTAGCAGTAGGGGATGTGATGACGGCAAGCCTAAACTAGACAGTGGAACCATGGTTGCTGGAGTGTACGCAGGAAGGCTCCTCGGCGAATCAAACGCACCTGTAAAGTCATTCGTCGGCAGCGTGATGGGTGCAAAGAGGCTATCCAGGATGGGTTCTGTAAACGATGTCCCGCGCAAATCCCCACTGCTGGCTGCGTGTCGTTTCGTTGCTGGTATATTCTGATAGCGCTGGGTCATGATGTCATCGGCGATGCTGCATTCAGAACCACTCAGTGGGTTGGTGGGTAGCGTGCCACATGCTGGGTTCACGAACGACATCGGCGTGTCGAACATCACGCCGGGCTGCAGAACGTCCGCTCCCGAGCAGCATGCGAGCCGCTCCATGGCGTCGTTACGAGAGCCGATGGCAGGCTGTGAGTGCCTGCTTAGGTTGTTGGAGCAGAGTGTATATGGTGGAGATGTGGTGTAGATGTCTGGTAGGTCCATGCAGTCCGCGGGCAAGTCGTAACCAGCCGGCGTCATGACCAAGCTGTCATACGCATCGCACACACAGCTGAAATTGAAGAGGCGTGTTTCGCGACGCGACTGGCGGCAGTTGGCGGTGGTGGCAGCGGTAGCGGAGGGATGGGTCCGTGGTGATCGAGCAGCTGCGGAGTGAGTCCGTGGCGAAGGGCCCGGCCGCTTCACCAGATCTAGCGGTGCACACACAGAATCGTCGCTGCTCAAGCGTGTAATGCTGATCGTCGTGTCGCTGGGCAACCAATTCAAGCGCTTGCGAGTGGTGAAACGAGCTCCTTGATTGCCAGCAGCTACCACATCACTGCTACCACCACCACCACCACCACCACCACCATCAGGAGCAGCAGTAGCACCACTGTTTCTTTTGCCGGTTGTGATGAGATTGGCGTGAATGGCTCCAGATGGCACTGGTGGAGGCGCGGGAAACTCTCGCTCGCACGTAGCAAGCTCACTGCAGTCCGGTCGAGAATTCACGGCACAAATACCGGAGTCTTTGCTCAGCGACTCGGCGCGCTCAATGCGCAGCTGTCTGCCGTGATCACGAAGCAGGGAGCAGCTCTGCGGTATGCGTACGCTCAGGTGTTTGAAACCTGTGCTTCTTCTTCTTCGCTGTCTGCGCTGCAGTAGGCCAGGAGAGGAGGTGTGGTGCTGGTTCAACTGGCTAGCATGCTGCTGTTCTGCTTCCTCACGGGACTGTTTGTAGTCCCCGAAGTCTGGGCAGGAGTATGACTGAAGGCTAATGGTATCCAATTCTTCAATACTGCCGTTGACACGACTTACTGGCCTCTCACACGTACCCGCTGCCATCTTCAAACTCCTGGGACTGATCTCCTCGTAGGCGTTCGTGGCGCCGGGACCCTTATTCCCCGCCGGCATGTGCATTGCTTTGTCACTTTGTCTCGTCGACTGTGGTTCATTTTCTTCCTCCGTCAAGTCGAAGGAAGATCGCCGATGTTGCTGTTCGAGCATTTGAGCAAGACCGGTCGTCGCTCCTCGGGGCGAGCCTGGAGCAAGATTGCGTATCAAGCAGACCGGTAAAGATCCGCTAGACGAACAATAGGGTGTGATGCTCTCATTGGACGACTGGGCGGCACATCCCTGGCTGACCCTGCGGGGTTTGCTTCGGTAGTTCTGCTGGCGATGCTCGTCCATGCGTGACCAGTGTGGTGGTTGCTGCAGGGGTGGTGCTATGGAGTTGCGAGACGGGCGCGGGCTGCCCGGAGGAATGGCACACGTCAACGACATTCTGCTCGTACAGCCCTCTGCTGTGGTGATGGCGGAGCGAGCTGCAAACGAGTCAGCACTTCCGTGTCTGTAGTGTTTGCAGTGAGAGCACAAGCAAAACAGCAACGACAGCAAAGGTGAACGAGTGTACCGTAAAGTCGCGGATAAAAGCCGGGTTTGCATACAAGCACATCGCGGATAGAAGCCTGAAAACCAAACGGGTCAAATGCATATAAGCATGTCGCGCGCAGAAGTGGCTTCTATGCAAGCGCGGATCGGGTAGGTCAAGAGTGCATGCGCTATGTACGGTGCATAGTAAAACTGCCGCCATACCGGTAGTCAGTGGTAGATCTACGCGTGCCGCGCGTAGAAGCCTGGCATACAAGCCTGGCAAAAATTTTAAAAAAATTGTAATTTTGGCATGATAACGTGCAGAAAGTTTAACGATGTTTGCACAACGGAAAGAACATGCATCGATGTTTGCGCATCTTTACACAGACATCTCAAACTGGGTTCACGATAACGTTTCTTCAAATAACGAAAAAAAAAATGATCGTTAAAACGTTAGACTTTGTGACTCATAAGACTTTCCGGTTGTACAGTACATAGCAGACGATATGGAGGGTATGTACATGACCTCCTCAGCAGCAAACACACATTGGAGGTGGCCGTGGCCTGATCAACCGGATCGGTTCCGCCAAGCCTGCATAATTTTGGGTTGTGATTGGATTACCGGTATGTTGATGGCTCATAATAATTATATCATGTCATGTAGCATTCTGGTTTTACGTGTCCGGGACGAAATGGGCTACAACCAACTAACTCATGTCTTAGAATGACATTTTTGAAATTCTATTTTATTCCAGAAAATGTCACTTTGCTCGCCAGCTAGTGAAACTAGACCGTCAAACAAGTGTGAGAATGAAGTTTGACAAGATGCTATCGCCACAGGTTGATGAATGAAGCACAGGGTTGAGAACGCTCTGCAAAGGTACAATTATTCATTCCGTCATCTCTCAAAGTATGTATGAAACCCCAGATATGTTTTGGCTGACCGCGGCCCAAATAGCTCTGGTAGACGCAGACTGCTGCCTGCATACTGATTTCTGCAAAGCATGGCCCATGAGACATACAGGTCCTTGCCATGCATATGGACACACACACACACACACACACACACACACACACACACACACACACACACACACACACACCTCAGACCTTAGACCTGCCCATCGCGGAAGCGATGATAGCGAACAGCTATGTTAGACATAGCAACTTGTGCTGGGATTACACCATTCAACAGCTTGCAAGGCTGATGAATTGACCGCCACTATTTTTAGCCTGGTATCCACACACACACACACACACACACACACACACACACACACACACACACACACACACACACACGCACGCACCCCCCCCCCTCCCCACACACACAGATTGCCACCCAATACACAACAGTGGGACAAGAATGAGTAGCTCACTTGTTGGGAACAGTAATCTCGCCACTCTGAAAACTCTGCCGTGGTGTGTGGCTGTGTGGCACTGGCAATACACTGTCACTGACGCTTTTACCGATATGCTTGGACAAGAAGTTCACTACAAGTAGAGTGATACCGACTGCGGAGACCGTGCACGGAATGCCGATCATCAGCAGGCTTCTCAGAGAGCTATCTGAGGCCAACACAACTGTAGTGGAAACACGTATACACACACGTGCACATGTATGCACAGCGTGCACGCACACACACGCACACGCACATGCACACACACACACACACACACACACACACACACACACAAGGTCACTAGTATTGTGTGTAGTCGACAGCGCCACGTCAGCGCCACAATTCGCCAAGCGTCTCAATGTGTCTAGTGAAGCGAGTGAGATAGTGTATGTATGTATATGTGTGCGTGTGTGTGTGTGAGGGAGAGGGGGGGGGGGGGGAGAGAGAGAGAAAGAGGAGAGAGACAGAGATACAACTGTTCCCTTCCCCGGTGCCAGGCTACATGTAAGCATGTCCATTACCTTGGTTATGTGCACAGTCGAGTATGACATCCTGGCTATGGTTGTGCTGGGGCTGCGGTGCCCAGGGTGAGAATTCACACTGCAACAGACTCCTCTCTTTGCCATGGCAACTGATGTTGCGAAACACACGCAGCTCGCCGTAGCTCCCCGATCTGGTTAGCAAGGATGAAGAGTAAATGGAGACACACAGCCATGCGCAAACATGTGAACACATACGCACAAAGCAACATTTAGCCTTTCTTCCGCACCCACCTTCATCTTTTTCTCTTTTCAATTCCACGAGAACACGGGTTCTTTTTGCATAGGGAACGGTATGGTAGAATGCCACCTCCTGTGTATGGCTCCATGCGTACTTTTTAGTATGATTTACCCCGCGTGCACACTGCACCCTACATTCCAGTGACTCCGTGCATATAGTTTCATGTGTCTCTCTTTCGCAGCATGCATTAGATTCCCAAATGTTTCCCACACGTCTCCCACATGTCCCGGTTTTGACAGACAAAAATCGTTCGCATTTCACCCTGCTAATTCACAAAACACCGCAGATAGCTAACTTAATTGAATTCACGTCAAAGCATGTGGTCTTTCATAGTGCTGACTCAGGTAGCACTTTCTTCGGGCATGGGGTCCGGGTAGTGTTCCACGGGTAGCACGGGTACCCGATCGAGCAACATTTGCATGGTAACACCACAACGCGCCCCTTCCCTTACACACTGGGTAGACATGCGGAGTATTACATGAATTTGTCCACATGCATTGGATACAGTCATGATGTCCTTTGCTACTTCGGGTTTTCCCGACTACCCGTGCAAACCCCTAGTCTGTCACTACTGGTGTGTGTTCTTACACTGCGCTTGAAGCCAGTCTCCAGGCCACGGCTCCGGCCCGAAAGCCGAGATGATGGCAGGCGACGTCGCTATTCTGCTGAGACCAGGGCTGGTGGCCACTGCAAGCCACACTGCCACACACAGTGCCGCTGACACCGTCCACCGTTAGCCCCAGTCTGCCGCGGAATACGCCCGGACGCACTTCCCGTTCGTCGAGCAACTGCACGCTGCCTGTGCAGTGGGGTAGGGGGACACATAGACAGCAAGTAGACGTCCACAAAATGCGAATTTTTCTATCAAACTTGGAATGCAAAATTCAAAAAAACAAGTCCAAATATTTTCAGAAAATTCAAATATTCACCCAAAATGCGAGGACAATTTGATTTGCTGCCATGGTAACTAATATAGCGCCCAAATGTTGTCATGAATTTAAAATACACAAGTAAATTTGTGCATCAACTGATCATGGCATGTGGACAGTGGAACCAACATGGCTGACGTCACGTGAACCATAGATGCAGGGGTTGAGTGGAGTTGAAACCAACATGGCTGCCCCACTTGGTCATGTGTACCATGCTTGGCGGAACCGATCCGGTTGGTCAGGCCATGGCCGGACCAACGGTTTGGCCGCCGGCGTGTGTTTACTGCTGAGGAGGTCATGTGTATACCCTCCATATCATACACAAACTGTATGAAAGGCTAGGGTATGGCCGAACTAATCAAAAACTGCTTCCGCCAGCTCTGGTGAGAGACATGAAACCACTCTATAGTAGTGACCCTGAACGTGCACTCACCAGAGGGTTTCTTGTCTGTTTGCCGATTGCAGAAGATGTACGGATACTCGTGGCATTCGGCCGCGGGAAGTGTGGCCATCATGCAGTCGGATATAGTGGATGCCGTGTTCTTGCAGGACACAATGGCCTTCACTGTGGATCTGCAGGGTGTTGGGAGTTAGGGGTAGGGATATGTTGGGGAGAACACAGACACATGCGGACAAACTTCACAACCACAATAGAAATAGTTGGCAATCTAGAATGTTGACATAGATGAAATCAACTTAGACACACTATTCAGTCATCTGCTTAATATCTAGGTCTCTCTCGTCCCTGTTCTTACTCCATTGATCTTTCTTTCTCTCTACCCCCCTCCCCCACACATATTGAATACATCACTCCCCTCCTCTACCAACATCATTTATATCAAACATATCAGCCACCCCCCCCCCCCTCCCCTACACTTGCATGTCATGCACAACTCCCCCCCCCCCCCCCCACTGTACACACACACGCAGACACACATGCACATACACACACATACACACACACACACACGCACACACACAACTATCAAATCACTCTCCACCCCTGCATGGACCTTCAGCAGACACTCACTGTGATGAGGCATTTCTTGTCAGCAAGAGGGCAGTGCTGGCTACCCGGTGTTCGACATGGCCGCCGTGAAATCCCAGTGTCCTGCAGATCAGCGTGGCGTGAAACACTCTGAAGTTCAGCATGCACAGAGCCGGTCCACGAACACCCGACTCCATGGGAAAACCTTCCGTTACGCCAGACAGCGTTACTGTGCATGGCCAAGACAGAGAGAGAGACAGAGAGAGACAGAGAGAGACAGAGAGAGAGAGAGAGAGAGAGAGAGAGAGAGAGAGAGAGAGAGAGAGAGAGAGAGAGAGAGAGAGAGAGAGAGAGAGAGAGAGAGAGAGAGAGAGAGAGAGAGAGAGAGAGAGAGAGAGAGAGAGAGAGAGAGAGAGAGAGAGAGAGATAGAGATAGAGAGAGAGAGAGAGAGAGAGAGAGAGAGAGAGAGAGAGAGAGAGAGAGAGAGAGAGAGAGAGAGAGAGAGAGAGAGAGAGAGAGAGAGAGAGAGAGAGAGAGAGAGAGAGAGAGAGAGAGAGAGAGAGAGAGAGAGAGAGAGAGAGAGAGAGAGGTGAATATGTTTGTGTAGAAAGTGATCGTGGCACGCGGACATTGGAAAAGAACATGACTGACATCATTATGATCTATAGATGCAAAGGTTGAGTGGAGTTGTAACCAACAAAGCGGTCCTATATGGTCATTCTGATAGATGCACAACAGCTGAACAGGCGAAACAGTAGCAGAAACAATAATCAGTTACAGCAGCAGCAGCAACAACAACAAATTCACAACCCTTATGATAATCGAGTGGGGTGCTGTCTTCGCTCAACTTCAACTGCGTTCACCCCCTCTCCCCCCCTCCCCTGCCGCTGTGGTGCTGAGACAGCTGGAGGGGCAGCGGAGGAGATCACCGTAAAACTCGAGTAACTCACGATTTCTCGGCCCAGTGGCGTTGCAGACGACCGTGGCGGCTACATCGCGCGCAGATTGCATATGGCACTTGCCGTTGGTCTGTGGAATCTCACACTCACTCAGTGCCCTCGCTCCTAGCGGACAGACAATCCCCTCGTAGACTGGCTCTGGGGCAAACTGACTAACACTGCATAGAAAATGGAAGGTGGAAAAGGACGGGAACAAATGACTGGCAGTGCAGGAGTATTCATGGCATGCACTCGTCCATATGCAAATAGAAGAACACGACCCCATAAACACGACCCCATGAACACACACACACACACACACACACACACACACACACACACACACACACACACACACACACGTGAATACAGTAGCATACGAACCCACACATGTACCATGTATACGCCCGTCGCAAGAGAAGCACGCAAACCTGCAAATGAACTGGATGTGTACCCACAGATTTTCTCTTTTAAGCAACGATAGAGGACAAGATCTGAACACACACACATACACCTCCCCCCCCCCACACAAGCAGATGTATACACGTATCCTACGGCAACGCAGGACACTGCAGCCGAGAGCACAGCAGCAACACAGACACTCACTCTACTCCAGTGATGCGTGTGGCACCATGGCCAAATCCCAGATGCTTGCACACCAGGTTAGCTGCATGAAGATTCCAACCGTAGTTGCACAGCAAGGTCCACTGACCGTTGACGCGCAACTCCACCCGACCCTCCGTTGGCACAGAACCTATCAAACGTACCTCCTCAAAGCGGAGCTTACGACCAGCTACAGCACATGTAAACAAAACCAAGGAAACTTGCCGGAATGAAATGAGATAATCTACTTTTTATTTGCGGGAGGGAATTTCTTTCCCCATCAGGAATGTTCAGTAAAGTGCTACTGCTAGTGAAATCCAGTCACGTCACTCAGGTACCCGCCGGGCGTTGCGCAGTCCTAGACCTGCGAACACTGGTTGGGCTGTGGAATGGTGCAAGGCGCAAACTTGAGTGACGCGACTGGATTTCATTGAGCAGTGCTGTATGATAATGATTGAAGCTCCGAGAGTGACAGACAGAAATGAAGAGAGATAGCAAGAGAAAGATGTATTTTTTTGAGAATATCCGCAATGTGAGAGATGGCCATACCCCCCCCCCCCCCTCTATACACACACACACACACACACACTCACACACACACACACACACACACACACACACACACACCCTTACTGAGGGCTCTTTTGCGCAGTATGAAGAAATCGGAGACATTGGACACGTCCATTGACACCACATCGCTGGGCTGCTGCGCACACTCTAAATGAATCCACCATTTGTGAAGCACGCATGCTGATTTGTGTTGCACCACGGGACACGAGCTAATGTTCTCATGTTGATCCTGACAGTAGTGTATTGCCCGAGAGCTGGGCATGGGAGCACCATTCACCGACGGTCCACTGAGCAGGAAACACACACAACAAAAAATCACGGTTCGCGTGAGACTCGGCCAAAGGCCCAGTTTTCCGCATCCGCAGGAACGCCGCTACCCTCTTGGATCAAGGCGCAGATGCAGCTCCTAAGCGGTGGGAGGTGAGTAGATCAGACCCACCACAAAGTGGTCAAAGACCGAAAATCCCATTCACTGCATCCATGTTTCCCTCGTACCAGGCCACGAGTTCCCAATTAACTGTGGGTCGCAGCACGGCTGGAAAAATCCTTCCGCTTCCAAGCAGGACTTGGACCTGGTACTCTCTGTGTCTCAATCATGGTCATGGTCAATCATGAAAACACACAAACAAAACATATATGACTGCCAGGATTCCACACTAGATCAGCAAGCAATTCTAATTTCCAATGTGTCTTTTCAACCGATTCAACGCTGAAGACGCTGATGAGACGCTGATGAGTTCAAAAAGAACGAAACAGCATGCTGTCCGCAGATTGAGTATTTCGCTCCTGCTCTTGTAGCAGTTGAGCACTCTTGCGTGGGGTAGTGCCTTTGCTGTTTGCGTTATGCAGAGCTCACTGACTTGTCAGTTTGAGCACTCTGGCAAGGTACGTTCGGGCCTGATTGGAAATTTTTATTTCCATTGCTATCAGGTTCGGCCTCATTTTCTCTGTGCTGCGCTGATGAGTTCAAAAAGAACGAAACAGCATGCTGTCCGCAGATTGAGTATATATATATATATATATATATATATATATATATATGTCATTGAACATGACGGCCAGGCGCTGATGACGTATATATTCGATACGTCTTTTTCAATGCCAAATAGGGAGTGCAGAGCTTGGGCGTCATGACCTGTAGCCCTAAATGGGTTAAAGACTGCATCTGCGCCTCGATCCTTGACGGTGGTGGTGTTCCTACCGATGCAAAAACACTCAGTGTAGCCAAGTCTCTACGCGAACCCGGAAGGTTTTTAGTGGCTATTCAAAACGCAAAACAGTTTTTAAATCTCCAGTTTCCAAAACATGGAAACCTCTGCGCCGTCACAAATGCAAGTGGTCTCTTTGCTCCTGGCCTGTAAAATTACAATCAAATGTTCAGCCAGGGCTAGTCATCACGGGATCCCCGATTTCCAAACAGTTATCTTTTCAGCCATCCCTCGTCAAGAACACCGGTCCATACAGTGGGAGAAGTCCTTATCTCATGGGCAATGCTAGAGGGATTACAACAGAACTGATTGTATTGAGACAATTTGATAGAGGTTATGAATAGTGGTCCACCGCTGTAACTAGATAGTATGTAATATGAAGTCAGAAAGTGTGACACCCAGGCACACAACTGACAGACTGCTCAGACATTCAACTCCCTGACATCTAGCTCTAACACATCTCCAGCGCGCAAATCAACAGCCTTCCAACTTGGACGGTTCATGGTAAAGGTGGGACAGAAGTGGGGAAGGCGAGCGCAAACAGGAGCTGACTGTGCACACATTTCTTTTATCTTCCATACTTCACTGGATACTGAGTCGAAAAAAGGCGCAAAAGTTGCAAAAAAAGTAGCAAAATGTTACACTGTTTGCCAAATAGAATGCCAAGGTTGAAGAAGTGGGAGCACTTGACAGTTGAGTGTGACTTCTTACTCATTCAAACACACACTGAAACTAATGGAAGAGTTCTGAAAATGGAGCTGCGATTCGTACCTATACGAACTGAGAGGCTGCGGCTTTAGCAGTGATTGTAGAGGAAAAGCAGGAAGGTATCAGGAAGCGCGAGCCGTCCAACCTTTGAAGCAGCCCGGACGGTTCGATGGACTTCTTGTGTGCTCTGGATGGCAGTCGTGAGTCAGTCAAGTGAGAATTCAAGTCGGCAGGAAAACCGCGAGCTCTCACGTAGGGAGCAACACACCCTTCTCCTACTTTCGTCGAAGTCGCACCAACCTCTTTTTCACATTCTTCTGAGTGACATGTCATTGGTAAAAGATGACACTAGCGCTTCACACTGCACGAGATGGGAATCTTTGCACTCTAAACTGCTGGTAGTGTAGACCGAACTGGTTGGGATTCTCCAGGGAGGTGAGGACGGGTAAAACATGTACATTGTATCGTAAAAAACGACGTCAACTTGAAATTCTGTCGGGACAGCACCCAGAGTTGCACACTCTTTGGCGGTTATGTACTCTTGGAGATACGCATTGATACGCACTGTCAATACAATAGTGCCCAATGCCATACAGCATGCAGAGCATTGTGTGACACTTCGGACGGGGTTCATCTCGCAACTTACTTCGCTCTGCCCGCCAATCGCAGGCCAGCGAATCCCATCTCCCGGCAGACCAGATCCAGCGTGTGGTTCGTGTAGATGTGATCCCAGCAGATGGCCGACCACATTCCGTTCTCGGATACTTCCAGTCGGCCTTCGTTACGCCCGTGCCCACCAACTAGGCGAAACGTACCTGTACAAAGACAATGATGAGATTGTGCACACCGTTAAATATGAACGAGTGGTGATGACTTTGGCAGTGGAAGGAAGAGCATTACTTGAAGTAGTATCTGTCCATGCTGGGTACTTGATGTGAAAATGTACCAATCTGTCAACCATGCATGCACATGCTCTCACAAGGGTGTGTGTCGGGGTGCATGCAGACTTTCACACATACGTACACATACACTCTTACACACACGCACAAGCAGGTACGGACACACGCACATATGTATACACACATGTATACACAAACACCCACCCACACACACACACACACACACACACACTTGTTTACTTATTTACTTGTTGCTCACTGCCAAAACTGGTCACGTGGGTCTCCCCGGGAGAGGGGAGAGAGACTCAAAAGGAATCTTGGAAAGATGACTCAATTGGCTATTGAACCGCCCAACGGCCGACACCCCCCTGAAATCCCCAAAACTCTGGGTGGACTTGAAAATGATCCCACTTATGGGCTCACCACACCTCAGTAAGTGGGTGAGGACAAGGTGCAGAAAAAGGATTGACGGCATCAGGGTATCCGTCCTGGGATCCAACTGCAGAACCCCTGCCCCCAGTGAAGGTAATACTTGCTACTAGTGTGGGTGGCTAAATCAGAGTGGATCTGATATAAGCTTCACTAGCACCATTGATTACACAAGAGTTAATCTAGCCAGAAGCAGACACACACACACACACACACACACACACACACACACACACACACACACACACACACATGCACACACACACACACACACACACACACACACACACACACACACAGTACCTGAAAAGAAGGGCGACAACGAACGGCTTATCTGATCACACCAACACAACGAAACATGTACAGTAGCCGACGACACACATCACGGCTAACACAACACAAGAAAAGACCTCACAACGGAAGTCAGCGTAGCTAGCTCACCCTCTTTGGCAACCGGCGAGGAACACTTGAGATACGGAGCGTGTTCGGTTTGACATGTGGAGATAGCTCTGTAGTCACCACAGCCTTCTCCGGCTGTGCAAGTAACGTTGGCACCGATGTACTTGCGTGTAGCACTGTTGTAGCTGAAAGCAGGGAAGTGGTTAAAAAGAACAAAAACAACAACAAAACACAACGGGAAACGAACAGCATCAACATACATCGCAAACGGTGCGGAATCACCAACACCGTGCTACCTGTTTTCATTGTAAGTTGCAAGACAGACATTTCTGCCCTGTGATGTTCCACACATGCATGTGCTTTGGGCTGATTGGGATGATCTATGACAACATTAGGGTTATTTATATTTGGCGAACACACCTGCACACACACACACACACACACACACACACACACACACACACACACACACACACACACACACACACACACACACGCACGCACGCACGCACGCACGCACGCACGTACGCACATACACACACGCACATGCACACCTACACGCACACACACACACACATACACACATACACACGCACACACACACACATACACACACATATACACACGCGTCTACACACACACACACACCTACACCACCCCCCCCCCCCCCCTCCACACACACATACACACACACATACACACACACCTGGTCCTGGTAAACACTGCCATTACGGTCACGTGTCCCCTTACGGGGCCGACAATATAGAACGACGAGCGGGACCATGTTCGAGAGAGCCATCTCCAGCAGCTATGGCTCTGGCTTATCATCGGAAATGATTCCTCTCACGGCTGCCGCTAGAACTGGTCCATCACTCTCCACAACAGAGCGAACATTCCATGAGCCAACGCTCAGAGTCGTTCCAAGTCGTCGCTTCGTGCGGTAGTTTGCTCCACTCGCGGGCTTGCAAAGCCTCGCGAAGGATTCCGAGGTGGGGGCGACGAGGAGAGTGTCGGCATCGTAACTATCCGACCAAGTCTCCTGTCGGTGAATACCCCACCTCAGGCACTGTTGGCCTGGACGGCTGGGGACACCCCAGGCCGTCCACACCGGCGAGAACAAGCACGGACGGAGGCCAGAAACAAGAGCCCGGAAAAGTACAACCGTCCTCCACCAGAGCAGAGAACACACACACACACACACACACACACACACACACACACACACACACACACACACACACACACACACACACACAAGCAACCGTACTTCAGTAAGTGTATTGATTTGTCGCGTCCGTGAGCATCCACACTGCCACCATCCCCGCTGCTGCCTTGTCGAGTTGGAGTGTCCTCCACTCGTTCATAACCAAGCTGTCTGCAAGTGATCAAGCGTGTGTAGTCATCAAATCCATCCGCGCACGCTCTCATGTAATGGCCGTAGTGAGAAACACGCACAACTCCCTCACTGTAGGTGCGAAACGGGAGGTGCAGCAGATTGCCATGAGGCGTTTGCAGCACAGTTTCCGACCAGAGGGTTGCGGCGCTGCTTGGAGTACCAGCGACTGCAGTGGGGATCACATGTGAACAGAGGGAAACCATATTAAATTCTGGCTTATTTGAGCCGAACGAGCACAAACATATTATTATTATGAATTAGTGGTGGCGACTTCGGTGATGCTTCAAGGGGAGGTTGGTTGCTTGTAATATTCGAGCTCGCGCTTTCCCCGTTTCTTTCTCTTGCTTTCTTGCAGGTTTTCCGGGTCGTAGGTTTGATGAACATCTTGTGTACTCTGGACAGCAGCCATCATCAAGCCTCTGGATCATTCTAATAAAGATATTATTATTACTTGAAGTAGTAGGACCTGATTCAGGCAGAGCGGCATGCACAAAGGCACACAATGAAAGCCTTGGGCAAATTCCGTTGTGACTCAGAGTTTCATGGCTGAACCAATCATCAGACAACAATGATTGGTTCAGCCCTGAAATTCTGAGTCGCAACGGAATTTGCTCAAGGTTTTCATTGTGTGCCTTTGTGCACGCCGGCTCTGCCTGAATCAGGTGTTGAGCACTTTCGCAGAACCTATGCCTGCTGCCTGTGTGTCTTACTTGAAGTATTATTATCATGAGTCAACCATGTGTCAAGTCACCTACAAGTCGATGGAAGAAGCGCGAGCTCGAAAGTTGGGACCAAAGAAATCCAACCTGCCAGTCAAAAGTAGCGCCGTGTTTCCATTTCAATGACATCGTGCACCGTCCGAAAACCCGTCCGAGGGCCGCACGGGCCGCATGAGCCTTGACGCTGCTTTCGGTTCACGGGTCACATTTCTTTGGCCACGGCTGTACATCCCACGTGATCACTGCCATTGGTCTTCTCCCATGCTATTGTATAACGTACAGTCAGTGCTGCTCAATAAAATCCAATCTCATGAATCCATGTTGCCCCCCCCCCCCCCCGCGCGGGTACACATCCTAGTGTTTAGCACAGCGCCCAGCGTGGTATCCAATCACTTGACCGGATTTCATTGAGCAGCACTCTGAAATCCAACATGAACATACATGTTCATGTACGTACACGTGCCGGAAACAAGGGTTGGGAGGACAGATGATCGGATTTCACATTCAACCAAAGCAGGACAAGTACTACCGGGGGGTAGTAGGACTGTTGGCTTTCGTCAAGACGTTAGTTATCAAAATGAGATTTCAGCACTCACTGCGTCTGTGTCTGCCTCCATGGACCACGATACAGCAGAATAGAACCACCTGGAAAATCGCCGTCCACGAATACCACACGAGGGAGCACCGGAAAGCTTCCCGGAAACGTCGTGTCCTGACTTGTGAAAGGTGTTTTGGTTGGTGCCGAGTTGCAGTGGAATGACGACACGTCAGATCCCCACATGCACAACACATACGCATTCTGCCAGAAACGTGGGCAAACTCCATAAACGGAACAAATCTCCTGCTACATGTAGTGATTTGGGGAGCACGAAGTAGGTGATTAGTAGAGAGTTTCGTTCACGAAGTCCAGTGACTCTTGTTCAGACAAGGTTTCAGCTGCTTGCTTATTACTGTTTCTTCGCTGATCTCCAACCATTTTGAACTTTGTGCTCGACACTGCCGCAAAGCATCAACTCCATCGGGCCACTGCCACTGGCCATGGTGGCCAACGAAACTAAAGAGGTCGACTGACGCTAAAGCCAACAGACAAAAGTGATTCAACTGCACTCACATCAGCTGGAGCTGGAGAAGATAATATGTTCTCCATTGCCCTCCTTCTTTTCAAAAATCTACACTCTTGCCTTGGTAGAGGAGGCAGCATGGCCCATGGCCGAAACTGCTGGAAGGCTGTTCAGCCAGGTTTCCAAGCCACGTTGCGCAAAGCGATTCTCCGCGTGGTGCATGGCTGGCGCGGCATGCACCATGCGTGTTGTAGTGTGTAGGGTTTACGAACTCCGTAGATAAAACGCCACGTAGCTACAAAAAATAGCTGTAGATCTGCACAACGCGGGTACACACGCGCACGCGTACACGGTACACAGGGTTCACAGGTACTAGGTAGAGAAGTCTGCGTAGTCACAGACTCACAGCGCTAGCGGAGGTTATCCAAGAACGAAAAAAGAGTGATACCCTCCCGAATATCAATCCCGACTTCGGCCATGCGAAGCAGCAGATCGCAGTAGATTCGAGCAAGCTTTCCCCACCAAAGACTTTGAGAAGTACAGACAGACAGTCGGTAGTCACGATACTGGACTCTAGAAATGGACTTTCGAGGTTTTGTCAGCAAATCAACAATCTCCCGCGGGCCCGGGGTCAACCCTCTTCGAGCTAGCTTCATGAACCCACCCACGTGGCCACGCGCGGTGCAGACTTTCATCTCGGAATGAACTCGACCCGGGTTCAAAACTTCAAGCTTTCGGATCTACGATAAAGGTCACGCTACGCACGCAGTGGTCAGTGTACTACAATAGATCTACTACAAAGTAGTTGTGCGCTTCCCGTAGATCTACGACAAATCACCAGAAAAAAGTGTCCTCCCTGTCGAAAGTGCCGCAAGTAAACGTTAGTTCGTCAGACTTTGGTAGAAAATGACGATTGTCAAACGAGGTCGATCCAAGTACACTGCACAATGTCATGGTACATGTACCAGCACTCGAGCTGCTCGACCATCAACACGCATAATGCATGTCCACACACACACACACCCGCACGTG